ATGTAGCAGATGTGGTAAACTCGGGCATTATAGAACTAGGTGTAAAGTCAACTTTCCAAGGTACAATTAATATTGTTTTTCATATGTAGTTTTTTTGTGAATTTTTTATATGTTTATTTTAGTTGTTTTCAAGTTCAGTTCTGTACTTTTAATTTCAACAGGGAATGAGCACACAAAACTACTTCAGTTAGTGGTACAAATATATTCTTGCACTAATTGTTTAATTGTTATGAAATCATAAGCTAGGCCAAGTTGTTGAGAAGAAGAAGAACAATCTTGGGAGAAGAAAAGGAAACAGAGAAGAATGATGAAGATATGATGAAGATATATAGTTAAAAACCAAAATGTTTACATTATGAACGTGTCGCCTATTTGTAAATTGTTGTTGAAAAATGGCCTAGAAGATGCTATGACGTTTGAAAAATGGCCTAAAGTGATTGTAAACTAGTCTTATGTATTGACTCTTTAATTCTTGTGTAGACATTGAAAAATTATTCTGTGAAGGTCTTATGTCTTTGGGTCGTGCATTGAAAAATTGTCCTGTGCAGGTCTTTTGTCTTCTGGAATTGCTCTTTTCGTTTTACTTCTTACTTGTTATATATGCTTGCCACTGATGCTTGTGCATTTCTTATGATGTTGCAAATTCATCAACCAATAGCAACTCCAAGCTCTCGAATTGACCCAGTTCCTCCCATCAGATGAATGCTTTCAGCTGAACATATGTTTTGTTTAGTTTCTTTTATAAATACATCACAAGTTAGCTTAGGATAATCCAAACTAGCGAGGGTCATTGGAGAACAAGCAGATTTAGGAGTCTGGAGTGAGATTATGGAGGTAATTCCCGATTCTTCTAGTTTCCATTCATGATAATCCAACTGTTATAAACTAGAATTAACACATAATGTTCAGGATTATGCATGAGGGATGATAGAACAATCATGAAATACATTAGAACTAACATGCCATAAACTAGAATTAACACGATGCCAACTAGAACTAACATAGCAACTGGTAGAACTAACATGACACAAATTAGCTAACATTTACTGTGGTAGGGCTAACGTGACGCCAAATAGAACTAACATGGCTCATGGTAGAGCTAACATGGATAAAACTAGAACTAACATGCATTTCAGTCAAAACTAACATGTTAATTTAGAACTAACATATATTTACAAGAAAGAGGGTCGCGAGATAAAAATTAATATGCGTGCTAAGATAAAAATTACCCAGACCAACTATAAGGAATGAAAGCTTAGCAGACACACACTACAAACTGAGCACAAATCATAATGGTGTACAAAATGACCACAAACAAAATCAAAATTGAGGACAAATTGACCACAAACAAGCTCAAAATTGAGTACAAACGCTTGCTTACATTTTTCATTTCTAGAAATCAAACAAAAGGTCAAATTAAGTACAAACTGAGAACAAATCATAATACAAACTGACCACAAACAAGCTCAAAATTGAGTACAAACTAAGTACAAAATGACTCAGGTTATGCAAGCTTATCCTCACATTGAAGAATCATCCACAAATCGCATCACATGTTTTTTGCAATGGAGAAACCAACAAATACTACAACGATACATACTAGAAATACTAATATTGTAAACATTGAACCTAATACAAAAGTATAAATGCAGAAAATAGCAGTTTCCCCAAGTTTTCCCTTGTCCTCATCCAGATTATGCCCCTCTGGAAACATTTTTTCTTGAACACAAACAGGTGTCTGCACATGCCTTGAGCTGGATAATGAATCATGCGCGATGGTATGCTTCTCCCATTCAATCAAAACCTCTTCGTACGTTGCATACCCTTTGTAGGAGGCATTTGGGAATCTATCAACTTGAGATTTGTATTCCTCCCAATTATAAAAAATGTCACAACATCGACCTCTCTTTACAGCATAAAAAACGCTTTCTTGCCATTATATCACCTGAAAATTTGTGCCTTAAAAAGAAATTATCAATGGAAAAAAGACATTCATGCATGCAAAATCAATTGTATTACTACTAATACATATCGGCTATCCACATTGTAACGGGTACTCCACAAATTTATCAATCTTGTAAATACACTCTCAGATGGGTTTTGAAATGTATTAAAAAAGACCTTCAAATATTTAGCAACCAAAACTTGCTAATCGGTTTATGTTAACGATCAATTCTGGAAAATTTTGATTGCATGCTTTTTTGCTTGGAGATGATTTTCCTTTCTTTCTTTACCTTATTTTGTTTCATTCTCATGTCGAGACATTTTTTCTCTCTCATGTTTTATCCTGATGCACAAAGTAAAGATTACTGGAAAATGATTAGTTATCGCGAAGAAGACAGCAAGTTGGAAAGCTCAGAGAGTTACTGTATCGATAAGAAATTCTCAAATAGTGTGAAATTTCTTCACGATGATTTTACCTAAGTACTAATAATGATATGCTTCTTGTTTACTTATTTAAATTTAGAATTTTTTCAATTGGCAGACTAAGATGCAAGGCGTTAGAAATCCTCATGGCTTAGAACAGGGATGGGCATGTCTTGTAATGTTCCTAAACACTATATAAAGCACACATCATAGCACGCATCATGTCCAACATACTTATCTTCTCATCCCCTTGTTATCCAAACAAAATATCAAAAGGGTCCAGAACCCACAAAAAAACCAAAAACCCAATAAAGTTTTTGATCACCCAATGACAGCGAGAAGAGGGATCTAGAGAGATAGAGAAAGAGAGTTCGAGTTATTACTTGCAGCACCGAGAAGAGAGAGGGACGGTATTGGTGGGGGGATACAGTGGGGGCACGAGTTCGTCGGCCCAATCGTACGAGGGACTTGGTCGACGGCGCGGGTTGGGTCACGAGCGAGCGCTGGAGAGAGAGGGGAAGTCTTTGGAGGGGGGGAGGGGGGAGAGAGAATACAGTGCGGGGCCACGAGTTCGCCGCCACGACGGAGATGTGATTTTGTTCGCCGCGGTGGTTGTCCGAAGCGAGCGCCAAGAGAGAGGAGGGTCGCGAGCGGCTGGAGTTACAAAGCATGGTTTAGGGCGGCCTGGGCCAGGGGCTGTGAAATTAAAATTTGGGAGGGTAAGTCGCTTGTGCCTGAGGAAGTATATAATAAAACAAGAGCTTTAAATTTGGGCAGTCACGGTTAAGAGTCCAGAGAGAGAGAGTTATTTGAGAGGTTTTAGGGTCACGGGGCGAGAGAATCACAGTGTTTTTTTTCAAAAGTGTGCTAGATATCAAGATTCTACTTTATTTTCTTTCAAATATTAAAGTATAATTCTATTTGCTTTCTAGAAGAATCTATTTAATTGAGTTTCTTTCCTTTATGAAGTGGCTGATTAATAGTTTTGCAAATGAAGAGATCATTTTTAATAAAAGAAACTTTACGATTTAACTGATTTGAGGACATATTCTTTGCTTTTCTGCAGTTTACCATCAAAGTTTATGTGCAATACTTTATGTGGAGCACGTTTATGCAAATCATTTATGCCGAAACTTTATATATAAATAAAATCAAATTATGAAATAACACAAGTGGAAGTTGCCTGAGACTCTGAGATTGTTCTCGCAGTTTTTGGTATAATGAATAAAGCGAAAGAAAATTTTCTTTTTCCTACCATTACATGTCAATTCTGGAAAAATCAAAACAAGTTATGGACTTATAAGTGAGTTAGAGGGGTGTTTGCAGAGTTTTTATCTTGGTCGAAGTAGTTTTTAAGTTAGCTTTTTTATATCTACATGTTTGGTCATATGAGAATTTTTGTGAGAATTTGGGCCTAGGTTTAAAATAGGATTGGGCTAATTAAAATAGAATCTTGATAAGGTTTAATTAAAATAGAATTTTGATAATTTTAACAATAAATTTAACAAAAAAATGCTTTAAAAATACTAAAATAGCATGTGAGTGTCACATACAAATTTTTGAGAAGCGAATTTCGTGGGGAAAATTCTCACGTTTGCATAACTGAGGGTACTAGAGTGTAGTTCTTAGAAACTTTAGGGTATTTAAGTGAAGCCATTTACAACTAGATATTTGGGTCCAACTATTCACACTCCCAAACAGTAACTTTGAGGGTGTGTGAGGACTAAATTGACCTTCTCCCAAACCAAAACAGGCCAAGTTCACTCCAGAAACACCCTCAACATAAAAAAGGTATTTTCGGCAATCCAACTCCCAAAATTACTGTTTAGGAGTGGATATAGCAAACATGTAGATATTTATGTGCAACATTGGGTACACAATAGAGTATTTAAATATAATTTACCCATAATAAAGAGGCAATCAGCGCTAAGTTTCTCTGTACTACGGTTTTTTTGCTCACAAGAAATTTCTTCTCTCAAATGTTACATTTTACAAATAGAATCTCTTCTATGATGCATGTCATTCAAGTTGACTAGGTCCATCACCAAAGTTTTTGATCACGTAACAGAGCCGCAAAAATATCAAATTTCAACTCCATGACGCCATTTTGACAAGGCAATTAATGCTAATCACTGAATTAGGCGTCATTGTGTTAATTTTATAGGTTAACAATTCATCTATGGAGAAAATGCTTCCGTTGATGCAAATACAGATGAACAGAGGCTGAGACTGAGATTGGTTAAGTGGCCACAGAGCCAAAGATGACATTCAAATTAATTTGACTTATGGATTGTTTATGATAGCTTTTCAAGGTGTTTTCTAGGACCACATTAATATTTTGACACTAGGTTATGCTCATGCAAATAATTACATAACGATTATAATTTTTTAAATAGAAAGGCTGCTGTTCACAATTTGCGTCTTGCTTACACATCCTTTCTGTGCACACAATCATGTATATGCATGCATATGTGCATGCTTGCATATGCCACATGTGCATGTCACATGTTTGCGCACCTGAACCTGTACATACATGCCCATACGCATTGCGTGCTTATGCAGGTCTGTTTGCATATGAGTGCATGTGGGAAACACTAAGTTGTAAAAAAAAAAGATTAATTTAAAATGTCGTAACAATTTCCTTTATACAAATACAAAGCCAATACAATCAAGTACCAAACCATCCAAAATCAGGTATTTCCCAATCCCCATGAACCCAAGTGAAAATATACGGAGACACAACACGTATAGGATCACAATATAACCATTGGAGTTTAGATACTATAAAAGGACGAAGCCACAAAAAGGAAGAAGAAAAACAAAGGGGAGAATTTGGTGGAGCTTATAGCTGAAGATGGTTGTTGGCCTTTATTCTGGCCTGCCTCTGATCCACCTTGAGATACAGGGACACCTGTCGTTGAGGGATTCAACGGAGCATCTGCATCCGGTTGTGTCGCAGGAGAATCTGCTGCTGGAGCTCCCTGTGGTGATCCAGCTGATGCTGTAGAAGGAGCTGTAATATGCACAAGTCAGGGCATTAGCTTTTGCTATAAAATTTGCTTTTTACTAATTAAGGCAAGACCTAGAGAGTAATCAGATGTTTCTGGGAGTTAGATGAGCCGTAATTATAGACTGAGAATCAAATTAATCCAAACAAGTATTTTCCAACACATAATCCTCGATGTCATCCATTCTTTGTAGGGTAATCTCATAATTTTTAGTCACTTTATGGGCTGTAAAATTTTCATTTCGCTAGTTAAGCAAGTGTTAGGTGTAATTGGCTTCCTCTAAGAATTGGATACACCTCAGTTATTAATTGTTAAGTACCAAACTAATCAAATAATCTTGTTCTCTCGGACATTATTCACTCTCCAAGGTTAATCAGATCTTGGTCTAAATTGATCTCTGTCGTCTAAGCTAATCATTTCTTAGTCACTCTAAGTTGGTCTAAACCGATAACCATGAATAGGGTTACCAACATCCATATATGTTGTACGTACTTCAGATTCAACTCGTTCCCCCTTGGACCACGACTTGGACTCTGATAACTAACACAAAATCTTAAGCAGTCAGTATCGATCGCAACTTCCCATTTTAACTTCAATTTCCTATCTAATTATTTTCACGGGTTAATCGCGGATATGCCCTTTGTACTATCACCAAATTGTACTTATTACCTCTGCAATTCTATCGTGCAGATAGGCCCCTGAGTGATCCTTTTTAACCATTTTCAGGAGGGTCCATCCGCAACAATAGATTTTCACTCAGCGAGTCTGTCTGCAAAGATAGAACCTTTTCATGGGTCTATCTGTAGCAATATTAGAACTACAGAGACAGTATGCTAATTTTGTCAATAGTACAGGTGGTCAATTCACAATTATCCCTGTTTGTAGTATTGGATTTTAATCACAAATGAATTCACAAAAGTAACGACCATTTATAACATAATATACAAGATGAACTTTAGTCCACGATATCTTACATACCGTTGCACTGGCTAAGGGGTGGAGCCTGGATATTGCAAGCACCAGGAAGAGAGAGAGCCTGAGTTGTGTTCACAGGCAGAGGGAGTTGAGGCGCGGCATTGAGGAATGCACACATACACTGTGCTTGCGTCTGTGCAAAACTCTCAAGCTGAGTGCAGCATTGACGAGACGGAGTCAATGAGTTGCTCGTGATGAATCCAACGCAAGGTTGAAGGCTAATGATCGGAGGTTGGCACGTAGGCTGAGCCCAAGAACAAGTTAACATTACGACATTGACGATTAGAGCTAGACCAAGCTTTGAACTTCTTTGTGCCATTTGATTCTTTGTTGTGATAAAGTTGAAAGAGAGGGGAGGAGAATTTATACGAAGAGATCGAAAGAGTAGAAGTCAGATGCGGTTTGTTGTGGGTGAGCTAGCCAACTCTGTCTACTTTGAGAATCAATATTATGGTTGTTGTGAAGTGTTGTTGTTTAATGATTGGGAGTAGTTTGGTTGGGTACAAATTGATACTAGGGATTCTTGATGCCAAGTTCTTGCTAGATACTCCTTGGAGAAACTTGTTGTTATGTAAGGGTGCGAAATTTTTGAGGTAATTTGAGCAAGCAAAGACATTAAAGGGGAAGGATTAGGTGATAACTACTGCTTGAAAGTGAGTCTTTCCAACAAATCTCACCCGTTGAGAGGTGACATAGGAAAATGTGAATAGTTTAGGGTGATTTAAATATATACCCCTTAAATCATGGGTATTTGCAAAACTACGCACTAATTATAGTATTTGCAAAAGTGTCCCTCAAATCATCAACTTTGGCAAAAAATGCCCCTAGAATCGACGAACCATTAACTTGATGAGTATAAAATTGTGTATTCTGTTGATAATTTTTACATTGCATTTGAAAATTGGCCTATTGAAGTTAGCGATTGATTGATAGATCTAGGGAATTTTTTTTCAAAAATTGACGAATTGAGACGTAGTTTTGCAAAGGCTAAATATCATAAATCCCCTGCTTTGGATGATTATTAGAACCCCGCCTAACTTTTAAAATATCAGAAAACCCCCATAACTTAGGGTTTATTAGAAAACCGCCTTTAACTTTGATATTTTATCACAAAACCCCCAAAATTAGGAAGGTTTTCTGATAAAATCTAAAAGTGAGAGAGAGAGAGAGAGAGAGAGAGAGAGAGAGAGAGAGAGAGAGAGAGAGAGGGGGGGGGGGGGGGGGAGATTGGATTCTAATAAAATCTGAAAGTTAAAGAGGGTTTTCTGCTAAAATCTGAAAGTTGAAAATGGGGTTTTATGATAATTCCTACACTTAAGGGTGGTTTTTTGATATTTTGAGAGCTAAGGGGGTTTTTCGATAACCATCCATAGTTAAGGGGGTTTTCTAATATTTACTCACAAATATTAACATGAGGAGGGTAGCTTGCAAGTAAACATGATTTAAGGGGTATATACGCAAATAACCCAATATTTTAAAGTTGTTTTTTGGTATTAGTACCTTACATCACTACTATTTTGATATTAGTCCTCCAAAATGCGTAAGTTTTTTTAAGTGTTAGAACGTTGTTCATACGAGATTGTTAGAATATTATTCGTACAATATCTCTTGTTTGAAAAATAACAAACTTTCATTTACTACTGATATATTTCGCGAGATGATATATTTCAGGTATAAACAGGTGCGAGCAAGATGCAGTTCGAAACGATGTAAAAATTAACATGAACGTTGATTTCAGTCTTCGAATCACCAATGGTCAAGAGGCAACTATCAATGGTTAAGCATCTGATCAGTGGTTATAGGAGCCAATCGGAGAAAAATAAAGACATGTGTTGGGACCATCGACGATCTACAGTGACACATCGTTGGTCATAAGGAACCATCAATGGTTACATGAGACAATTAAAGAAATTCAGAAACTAGAATCAACATCATCGATGACTATAGTGAAAACATTGATGATCACTAAGGGACCATTGATTATCGTGATCCACCATTGATGGTTTTGACAAAATTTAGCAATTTTTAGGATTTAATCTCAGTCTTTCGTTGATCCATTTGATCTCCTATTTGCATTCAGATTTGGATATCTCTTTCCTAACCTATCAAGATCTATTTAAGGGGAGATGGAGATCAAAATTAGAAGAAGTTAAAGGAGGTAAATACATAAAAAGGAGAGATCTTTATTCTAGGGTTTGAGAGAGAGTTGATCAAATCCCTGAGCCTCGTTCAGATTATTCTCAACACAATTTTCATCAAAAGTTTGATTTAGAAAGATGAAGTGCCCTACACTTACATCACTATACCGTATCTTCATGGATCTTTATCTTCATCGATTTGAAGAACGGTATGATAAAGTGTTGTAAGATTATTCTTTTTTGTGCTTTAATTATTTTAAATTGATTGTATCTCAAACTTGTGTGTTTAACGATGTACTCAGCCGGGATAATTGAAAATTTGGCTAGCTAGGACTAGATTTCTGCTAGTCATTGTGAAAAGTTAGGTTAGATGACTGGTTTCATATAGATTCTAGGGTACGGTCTTTGAAGCATACTAAATCGGGTTATGATTCAGGTGAACTCTGGTCATAATGAGGAAGGCTCTCCATGAGAAGGAAGAGTGGACATAGGATATAGCAGAAATTAGAAGAGAGTGAGTGCTAGTACCCCGGAGATACCGAATAATCCGTAATAAGGCAGCATAGTGTACAAAGCATGGGTCACTAACAAATTGACTAATAATACTAACAACATGAGAGATATCTGGTCAAGATATGCATAGATAGACCAACTAGCCAATAAGATGTCGGTATCGGATAGGATCAGATAGAGACTCACCATCAGTAAAGCGAAGTTAGATATTCTATTGAGTATCGACAGTTGCATTATCAGTTAGCTCAGCGCGATCTAGAATATCTGAGAGATACTTTTGTTGAGATAGTAGTATACCCCGCGGGCCCTGAGAAATTTCTAGACCAAGAAAATAGCGAAGAGATCCAAGATCCTTCATGTGGAGCTGTTGTTATAATTGAGATTTTGCAAACTGTATACCAGCAGCATCATCACCTGTAATGATCATATCATCTACATAAAGGAGTAATAAAACTCTGCCACACGATGTATTACGAACAAACAGAGAAGCATCTTGATGACTCTCCATAAAGCTCGTCTTGAGCACGACATTACGAAAACACTCAAACCAAGCGCGGGGTGCCTGCTTGAGATCATAAATAACACGACAAAGGAGACATACGTGTCCCGGAGGAATATTGTAGCCTGGAGGCAGTTGCATATATACTGTCTCAGATAAAGAGCAATGGAGAAAAGTATTCTTGACATCTATCTGGTATAAGGGCCAACGATGGGCAGCAACAACCGCAAGTAGATGTTTGCCTCGGAAATTGATTTTTTTGTAGAGTCCATTACAATCGTTTATCGATACAACGGAATCACAAGAGTGAGCCTTTTTATAAGACTTCTCTTTACAAAAGAAACAAAAAGAGGATCTCCTAGAAATATACGTAGAGATTGTTTATCAATCGCTGCTTACGTAGAATCTTTGCTTGTGCGAGGGACACGTTAGCCCGTGGACGACTTATTCACAGATCCGGGTTGATCATGAAGAAGGTTCGGTGTTCTTGTTTTAATTGGGAAATAAGAACAGAAGTAAATATCTCAGTGACGTGAAATAAATACTCTTCTTGAGATCAAAGCGATGTTTGATCTCAAGGAAAGGGGAGAAGGCCTACAGATCTCTCAAAATCTTCCTCTTTATGCACAAAGTTCGCCAAGAAATCACCTTTCTCTCTAAAATTCATGGGTCTCTGCTCTCAATTCGTTAGTCTCTTCTCATCTCGCTCAACCCTCATGCATAAGGATGCTAGGGGGATATTTATAGCTTCGGATGCAGCGTTTAAGGATAAGAATTCATGAGTTGGGTGTATCTTTAGTTAGTAACAACTTTCCCGTGTTTAAGGATGTTCCCAAGAAAGTTATGGAGCCAGTGGACCACACGAAACCCGACGAAAACATTGAAAACACGTCGATGGCTTCTCAGTGTGCGAGACACCCTGAGGTGTCTCGCACTTCCGAGACACCTTGAGGTGTCTTGAAATCCGAGACACCTTGAGGTGTCTCGGAATTTGAGATAGCAGTTCGAGTCTTGCTGTTTCGTCATTTTGTGGCTTCATTTCTTTGTCGTTTTGTCGCTTCGTCTTTATATCGGACGATGCTCTCTGACTTAAATAACGACGTTCTTCATCTTCTCTTCACCTTGAGCTATGTTTAGAAACATATAGGTAATTTTTTATGCCTACAAATACCCCCTCCAATGTATTTTAGCCTCCTTAGTATTTTATCGAGGAGTCTAGAATAATACTTTGGACAAGATATGCCATGTTTTCAATCCCTTCAGTATTTTTTCGAGGAGATTGCGTGAAAAGGACCTGTGAATGGCTTCAGTTCTTCCACTTCTTCTACTTTTAACCCACTCAGTATTTTGTCGAGTATTCTAAAATACTTCTGGTGTTGTGTTTATCGCTTGACCATCGTCAAAATCTGGAACTGAATCTGTGTGTTGATTGTCTGAATTAGCTCGCATCATCGAGTTGACGTTGAACTGATCATCCTTGTCGGTAATTTACATCTGAATTGTGGTTGAACTCTGTGTGTGGGACTCCTAAGGGAAATTTTGGTATCAAAGCCTTTGGTGCACATATTGTGTACGTTGAAGGCATGTTTAAGTGTACTGGAGATGGGCTGGAAAATGCATCAGATGCATGCCAAAGGGACTCTTTGTGCGAGTCTTGATTGTAGGACCAGCCGTAGGTGCTAATACAACTATTATCTCTAAGGCTACCGCACATCTCAAGGACTTCGAAAATGTGTTCAAGGCTCCTTCTGAAATGGAATTCATCAAATCCTCGGATCCAACAATTGTGGAGACTTTGGCTGGACTTGAGGCTACCCTGGGTACTCGAGTCGTGAGACCAACTGATGAAGTTGACACGTTAGTGACTATTAAAGTACCGTTATAGAGGAGGAGGTTACCAAGGCTTTGACTACCACCGTAGACTCCATAAAAGCTGATTTGAAGGTGTAGATTGTACAAGCTTATGAAGAGAAGTTCTCCAAGCTAGAAGAGAGAATCTGTCGTCGCAAGCTGCTTATCCAAGCATAATAGGATTTTTAGCAAACCCTCAGCCATCAACGGATTTGATGAGCCTTTACCGACTACCGTTTGAGTTGAGCTAGCATGTTGATTGTCTAAGTTTGTTTTACATGTAACGTTGTGCTAAAAGAATGAACTCTTTTAGACTTA